CCATTCCGATTCGGTCATCCCCCGATGGATACGTAAATACAAGCTGAGCTCCCCTCCGCGAGGGTAAATCCCTGAACACGGATTCCTGAGGCTCCTGGTGACTCGACAGGAACGCTAACGAGAAATTCCGCATAAACGAAGCGTGAGTCTCATTCGCGCGGACAACCGAAGATCAGGAAATCCAACGGGGAAAAATGGGGTCCTGGTCACTGGGTCCACGATGACGGATAAGCATAATAAGATCCACCCGGGAGTCCGCACGCCTAAAGACACCCAAGGCAAATATGTTAACGATCCCTTTGCAAGAAGACTACCCGCCGGCAAAACCAGGGAGCAAAGGCTATTTGGAATGCATAGGAAGTGAGAAAGCGATACCCGAGGAGCATGGGTCGGGGGAGCGACGTCCCTCTCTCTCTCTCTCTCTCTCTATATCTCTCTTTGTCTCTCTCTCTCTCTCTCTCGCCGTTACTCTTCAAGAAGGAATTATTAGGACTATCTTGAAAGGGCGAGAGGCCTCGCAGGACCCTGGACCCCCTGCCGTGTACCAAGCAGCGCACAGGTACGAACAGGTACGAGCCGGTAGGCGCCTGCAAAAAGCAGTTGGCATCATGCTCCTCGAGGGACCCTTTGTTCCCTTACATACCATATAGTATGTATGTTGCTGCTGTGGTGCTATGGGATTGGTATGCCTTCTATTGCGGTCTATATGTATAGCTATGGACGAAGGACCGACCGGTCTCAACTTGTTTCTGGACGGTTCTCGGGCCCTGCGAAATTTTTAATTGCACCTCGCGCCGGCGTCCTCGCCAAAGATAGATTGATCATTGGAACAGCCTCCTCTGGCACGCTTCTCTTATGCCTAGGTGCCACATGCACTCGTAGTAGATATACAGAACCATTCGAGCTCAAACTCACCGGAGCGAGAGCGATTTCAAAGCCGATCACTTGACAGCTGTCAAATCTGACACCTCGGCCGAATGGATCTGTAGGCGTCGTGTATACAGGTATTTCCAAGTGATTCAACAATTACTGACCTTCTCCTCCAACGCTGGACCGTCCTCCATGGCGTGCATTATCGCATCAGAGATGTGTGTGTCCAGCTGTCTCATGGCCCTCTCAGTGTTTAGTTCCAGAACGTTGGTAGGACCATCCACAGCCGCTACAAGACGTTCCACGATGTAGACGTAGCCCGACCAGGCGGGGTCCATTTCGGATGCTGGTTGAGTCAGACACCCTCTGTATAAATGAGAATATTATACTGATCTTGTTATTCTCATGGGGATTCGATACCTCCTAGCTCTTCAGAATGCATATATATATATATTATCATAGGCACCTCATTACGTTGGTGCACAGACTGTGGCAGGGTTCGACCTCCTCAGTGATACCTTTACACTTAGGACAGTACGTCATCTTCATAAGAGCGTCGTTGCAGGCTTCCTGATGAAGACGGGATCCAGAAAACAGCACGGTGTCCGTCTTATCCAAGACCGTTTTACCGAGATCCAATGCCTGTATCAGTACACGGGTGGCCTCGAGACTCTTCGCCATAGACGCTGATATCTGATCAGGAATATCACCGAACGGCTTGATCCTATCGACAATTTCATATAGACAGCTCTTGAACTTCGGACTGAAGTCTTGCTGATGCGGATTCACCGCGTGATGATAAGCTATGGGGAAGAGCTTCGTGAAGAACTCGGAAAAACGTTCCTTCAGCATCGACCTGGTGAGCGGTTGTTCCAGGTTTACAGGGGTATTACTAGGCGCTACGTAGTCTATCATCGCCTGGTAGAGGGCCTTGATGGACGGTCTGCTCTGAACAGCCATGGACCGGTACACTTGGTTGAAAAGATTCAGCGTCTTGTTTTCCGATTGTCTGGCCAATGACGTCATGGAGTCTGCAGACAAAAAAAATATATATATAAATCTCAAGCCAACGAGAGTTTGGTTCTCTAGCGACTATGAGTCGCACGACCGGAAGTCGTTCGGAGTCCCTATGAAAGGCTAACGAGATGATAATAATTCAGACTGTACCAGAGGCACCACGGGATGTCAGTATTCCAGGTGATGACGGGTATAGAACCTGCTGGTCTCCATTGAGCTTAATGCGATCAGAATTCTATAAAGAGGCGAAGCACGTTCCTGTTAGGCCATATGACGTTATCCGACTTGCTCTCGTATTGCCACAAGAAATATCCAAGAGCGAGACTCAGGATTGTCCGAGTTACCCAGTTTTCTGTTAGTACCCACCGGGTGTACCATGGATACCCCGATACTGGTATTACAGGTGGAACTGGTGGGATTGGCAAGAGCGAAAAGACCGGAAAGCGCCGTGAAAACGGGACTCCGTGTCTTCCTGAGATCGGACAAGCGAACTGGTCTCACTGGGTCACGGTATCGTTATCGGTGTTATACGTCTCGTTAAACATGGACCAGTGAGTTACACCAGGTAAAACGACGTGGGCTGTACCCCCTGGATAATTTTCAAAGTACACGACGGTCACCAAAAAAAATTCAGAAAATCTTTCATGTCGCTAGAAAGCATTCTCTCCTTTCACAATGAAGACGGTACTCCTCTACGAGTTCATCCTGAATGGAGAACCGTAAGGTTATGTACGTTTTCTCACACTTACTCGCGTCGACGCACACGGAAACACGAGGGAAGATGAGCATGGTCCGAGGAACATTTTCAGGACCAATTTACTCCAGAATCCCAAAAGGGATCCCATTGAGGTAAGAAGATTTTTGGTAAAATGACGAAGCGAGAAGATGTGTATATATATATATATATATACATATATATACACCTAATAGTATCTAAGAGCATACGATGAAAGAAAAGGGGCCGAAGCGTGAGCAGAGATCGAGGGACAAAAAAAAAGAGAGAAATAATCCGAAAAAAAAGGGGGAGCAGACTACGGTAGATGCTTTTCTCACTATTTTTCACGGTGTATATATCCATTCTAGTAATTCTCCCTGTATAAGGATATCGAGGAATTCCAGAGGGATTCACCGAGAAGGTTATAGTCCCTCACGATGTCGAAGGTGTCGTCGCGGTTATATACCACCCTCCGCAGGGTTCCCACCCGTAGTTAGGTACCTGGAGGAGGTAGCGCGAGGCCCGGAATCGTCTGGGTCCCGAAGCTTCTGCATTCCACAGCGGTCATTTTATTTTAGCGCCACCGTGTGTGGGAGAGAGAGGACCCTGCAGCAGACGGTGTACAGACGCTACGTGGTATGGATGTGTGGGACGTGTTTCTTCGGTCGAACGGTCTTGTTGGTGCTGGTGATGGTTATGGTGGTTGTGCCGATGCCGTCAGCGATGGTGGTGGTTATGGCGAGAGAAGGATAAGGTGAGAGGGATGTAAAAGGTACGTGGGAACTGTACCACGCTGAGGCCCGGCAGGGCCGCACACGCTCGGCGTTCTTCGACTCCGTAGGGATAAAAAGTATAATTAAGTTTCGGTGGAGGGAGGGAGAGAGAGAGAGAGAGTGAGAGAAGGAGGGGGGAAATAAAGAAAAAAGGAAAAATGAAAACGTACAAGAGGACTACGGAGTGAGGTAGAAAGGGAGAGGGAGGGAGAGAGAGAGAGAGAGAGAGAGAGAGAGAGAGAGAGAGAGAGAGAGAGAGAGAGAGAGGAAAATGGTGGACAGGGCCCAACTGAAAGCGTGCACAGACCTGGCCGAGTCGATAAGCGGAAGGAATAGAGCCACCACGAGCACGCGAGCTAAACGAGCCTAAACATTTGTTAAGCGCGGAATTTGTGGGAAGCTATTGCACAGCAGCTATCTTTGGCATCCGTGAGTGTACTTCCCACCACGCTGCTATTACCCGCGGAAATCCTTCGTTCTGATTGGTCCCACTTAAATGTTTCTCATTTAAAAACTATTGCGAATTTTGGCAAATGGTTTGCGAGAGGGTACTCAAGGGACCTCCAGCCATCGCGCACTTTCCGGTCCAAAAGTAGTTCTGGGACACCCTGTATATATATATATATCTCTAGGCATCCTCAGCCATCTCAAACGTTATTCAGGTCTATTGAGACGGCCACTACACTCCATTCAATGGCTGCGTCTTCTTTGCCAGAGTTATACCAGACAGACGAACTCTCGCGACGATTACCTGTACGATTATCGCGCGCCTCGGTTCAAATACCCTGACGTCACGGCGCACGTGTTCTCAACCACGCTCTTCTGCATTCCTATTTCCTTAGTCCCCATCACACTTCCAAGCAGCAAATAGCCATTCAAAGAATGGCTAACCGCATCAACGCTCGTAGCTGACTTTTACCATATTGCTCGAGCGATATTGTAAATGACTTCCCTTTCCTGCCGGTACGTCCATCCAGACGTGCCTTAATCCGTAGATGTCTTTCATGCTCGCCATAGACTAAGCAAAGAGAGGCGAAACACGACGCAATAATATATGCACCGTACACGTGCACATGTATTATATTCTCTCTCTCTCTCTCTCTCTCTCTCTCTCCCCCCCC